GAAGAATCATGTAGAAACCTGTAGAATCATGTAAAAACCTGTAGAATCATGTAGATTCATTAAGAATCATGTAGAAACCTGTAGAATGCTGTAGAATCCTGTAGATTCATGTAGATTCATGAAGAATCATGTAGAAACCTGTAGAATCATGTAGATTCATGAAGAATCATGTAGATTCATAAAGAATCATGTAGAAACCTGTAGAATCATGTAGAAACCTGTAGAATCATGTAGATTCATGAAGAATCATGTAGAAACCTGTAGAATCATGTAGAAACCTGTAGAATCATGTAGATTCATGAAGAATCATGTAGATTCATGAAGAATCATGTAGAAACCTGTAGAATCATGTAGATTCATGAAGAATCATGTAGATTCATGAAGAATCATGTAGAAACCTGTAGAATCATGTAGATTCATGAAGAATCATGTACATACATGAAGAATCATGAAGAATCGTGTAGAAACATGTAGAATCATGTTAAAACCTGTAGAATCATGTAGATACATGAAGAATAATGTAGAAACCTGTAGAATCATGTAGAAACCTGTAGAATCATGTTAAAACCTGTAGACTCATGTAGATACATGAAGAATCATGTAGAAACCTGTAGAATCATCTAGAAACCTGTAAAATCATGTAGAAACCCGTAGAATCATGTAGATACATGAACAATCATGTAGAAAACCTGTAGAATCATGTAGAAATCTGTAGAATCATGTAGATTCATGAAGAATCATGTAGATACATGAAGAATCATGTAGAAACCTGTAGAATCATGTAGAAACCTGTAGAATCATGTAGATTCATGAAGAATCATGTAGAAACCTGTAGAATCATGTAGAAACCTGTAGAATCATGTAGATTCATGAAGAATCATGTAGATACATGAAGAATCATGTATAAACCTGTAGAACCATGTAGATTCATGAAGAATCATGTAGAAACCTGTAGAATCATGTAGAAACCTGTAGAATCATGTAGATTCATGAAGAATCATGTAGATTCATGAAGAATCATGAAGATACACGAAGAATCATGTAGAAACCTGTAGATTAATGTAGACTCATGAAGAATCATGTAGAAACTTGTAGAATCATGTAGAAACTTGTAGAATCATGTATAAACCTGTAGATACATGAAGAATCATGTAGAAACCTGTAGAATCATGTAGAAACCTGAACAATCATAAAGATTCCTGAAGAATCATGTAGATACATGAAGAATCATGTAGAAACCTGTAGAATCAATCGTAGAAACCTCTAGAATCATGTAGATTCATGAAGAATCATGTAGAAAACCTGTAGAATCATGTATAAACCTGTAGAATCATGTTGATACATGACAAATCATGTATAAACCTGTAGTAATCATGTAGATTCATGAAGAATCATGTAGATACCTGTAGAATCATGTAGAAACCTGTACAATCACGTAGATTCATGACGAATCATGTACAACATGAAGAATCATGAAGAATCATGTAGAAACCTGTAGAATCATGTAAAAACCTGTAGAATCATGTAGATACAGGAAGAATCATGTATAAACCTGTAGAATCATATAGAAACCTGAACAATCATTTTGATTCATGAAGAATCATGTAGATTGATGAAGAATCATGTAGAAACCTGCAGAATCATGTAGAAACCTGTAGAATCATGTATAAACCTGTAGAATGATGTATAAACCTGTAGAATCATGTTGAAACCTGTAGAATCATGTATAAACCTATACGTAGAAACCTGTAGAATCATGTAGATACACGAAGAATCAGGTTGAAACTTGTAGAATCGTGTAAATACATGAAGACTCATGGATAAACTTGCGAAATTCTTGACAAACCTGTGTACAAAAAACTGGATTCATGTACATACACGAAGAATCATGGAGAAACATGAAGAATATTTGAGAAACATGTGGAATTATGTAGAAATCTGTGAACTAGTCAGTAAAAACCTATAGAATCATGTACATACATGAAGAATCATGGAGAAACATGAAGAATCGTTGACAAACCTGTGAAATTCTTGGTAAAACCTGTACATTCATGGGACGACCGGAAGAACAGTGGAGAAATATGAAAGATCATGACAAAACCTGTAGAATCATCTAGAAACCTGACAGGTAGAATCTTATAGAAACCTGTAGAGTCATGTAGATTACATGAAGAATCATTGTGAAACATGAAGAATTATTGAGGAACGTGAATATTCATGTACTACATGAAGGACTAATGAGAAACCTGTAGAATCATGTAGAAATCTGTCCTGGTGGAGACTAGGGTAAACACGTAGACTCGTGGATACACCTGTGACAGTTAGGTACAATAGGTACACGCTTAATCTATTAACGCGCGAAGGCGCCTCCTACCGGTTTTGAATATGATCCAGGGCGTGCACCACCAATCCACGGCGTGTACCTATTGTACCTAACTGTCACAGGTGTATCCACGAGTCTACGTGTTTACCCTAGTCTCCACCAGGACAGGTTTCTACATGATTCTACAGGTTTCTCATTAGTCCTTCATGTAGTACATGAATATTCACGTTCCTCAATGATTCTTCATGTTTCACAATGATTCTTCATGTATCTACATGACTCTACAGGTTTCTATAAGATTCTACCTGTCAGGTTTCTGGATGATTCTACAGGTTTTGTCATGATCTTTCATATTTCTCCACTGTTCTTCCGGTCGTCCCATGAATGTACAGGTTTACCAAGAATTTCACAGGTTTGTCAACGATTCTTCATGTTTCTCCATGATTCTTCATGTATGTACATGATTCTATAGGTTTTTAGATGACTAGTCCACAGATTTCTACATAATTCCACATGTTTCTCAAATATTCTTCATGTTTCTCCATGATTCTTCGTGTATGTACATGAATCCAGTTTTTGTACACAGGTTTGTCAAGAATTTCGCAAGTTTATCCATGAGTCTTCATGTATTTACACGATTCTACAAGTTTCAACCTGATTCTTTGTGTATCTACATGATTCTACAGGT